AAACAAATTATTTCCAGCCAGTATGCAGACATATAGCGAGCATAATTTATGTACCAAGGACTCATTGCTCTCACTGCTGATAGGTGAAGCTATACCTGTCACATTTTAGGAAGAGTTACTCCTCTTCAACAAACATCTGGAATCTTATTGTTAATAACATTTTGTCATAAATTAGGTAGGTTTACCTACTTAAATAAAAATTTCCATTACATACAGCAGCAGTTACTGTATGTATAAGGTCACATAACTGCCACCTAACACATAACTGCTCTTCTGCCCCTTAGCAAATTAAGGCATGTCACACACCTCTTCTGTCATATTGAACATTTTTAAACTTTAGTTAGAATATCTCAACATTGCAGTAAAGGCAAGACAACAGCACTCAGAGTATGTAGCAAGATTAAGCACCACAAATTCTTCAAATATGCATTCGAGGTACTTAGAGATGATTTACACCTTCCCGAGGGTGTTACCACCTTCCTGGAGTGATATCTTTACGGCCAGGAAAATACCACATCGATCAATAATACCCATGGGGGACACAAGGCCCTGCTCCACACAGCATCTTAGAATGCTTTACAGTCAACTCGGCCCACTAACCAACTTGGCCCACTGTTCAAGGACAAACTCGGCCCGTTTCTAAACTGACTACCTAACCATTAAACAAGTTAGGAACCATGACTACATTCTATCTTTGCAATGTTTGAGAGAGATTTGAAAAATCAGTAATTTAGATCTTTAAATATTTAAGCCAAACTGGATGTTCTCTTGCGATATTGATTTAGAAATTGTTCACAGCCAATTGCAATCAAACTTTACTCATCTGTATGCCCAATGCAACTGCAAATGGCTGTATCGGTTTGTTGCTGCCTTTTGTAAAATATTAATAGGCTTCCTTAGTTCCCCAATATGTCAAACAGTAGTTATTAACTATTGGGCCGAGATGGTATGGGCCAAGCTGGTCAGTAATTTGTTAGCTACAAATGCAAATAGGGTTGTCAAACAAAATGCTCATTTTTTAAAGCAAATTTAAATTAAAGTGCACTAAACTTTGCAAATGCAGCAATTGTGAGAACAGTGAGGTAGATCTAGTTCAATGGATAGATCCCAGTAACGTAGATGAAGGCAGTGGACTGTGATCATGATAAAAGCTAATGTGCTTGTGTGATGTTACTCTGAGTGTATATCACACAAGCATCTTACTCACCTGAGTACATTACATCGATACAGCAAATTTCAAAAGCTAATGTGTTATTAGTTACTATATGGTACCAATTATAGTATTGTTTAAATATGTATTTTATATATTTACTGTTAAGTATTTGGTAGTTTTTGGCTTACCATACTGATACAAATATATCCATATTTACTACAATTATGTCCATTAATTCCTCTTAATATCTTCAAAATGGCAAAATATAAAATTGAAGTTTGTTTCGTCCTTTATTACACGCCATAAAGATGAAATAGTGTGCACATAAGTTCATAATCTTGAAAGAATGCCGATAGTGTTGCTAAATATCTTCGTACAAAGCCAGAAAATACGCTTTGTCGCAATGACACAGAATAGGAAGTTATACCAGAAGCGTAACTCTAGTCGTTTCCCTTATTGTTTGACGTCCACGAAAATTTTTAACTCGCTCACGTCAGGCCACGCCATCCTGGCTAGTACAGCCGGAAGTTTTTATCATGATTTGGTAGGTACAAAGTGCCGGTTGTACTAGCCAGGATGGCGTGATTGATGACGAATCGCTTGTAAAAACGCGGACAAATATTTGCTCGAGTTACGCTTCTGGTATAACTTCCTATTCTGTGGCAATGATATATGAAACTTGAAAATCGTGTTGCTGATTGTTTACATCAAATCTGATTTCACATATCTCAAGAGGAGGCGGAAGTGACCTATCCTGTATAATTTTCACTATGGCGCGCGAGTGACTGGTTCCGAGAGTAGGCATTTTGACGTATGGCATGTAGTAAAAATGCGATTGCGAAACTCGTAAATTTTAAGATTTTGATCGCAATTTACAAAAAAACTGCAGGGTGAACCCGCAAGAACTTTTTAGATTTGGATTCAGCGTCACTTAATCTATAAGAATATGTAATTTTCTTTTAGTTTAAAGAGGTGTGCAACGAAAATCGTTTTCTAGCCATCTTTTGGGGCACTAGACGACGGCCTAATAATGCAAGTCCTCTGGCACGTGCCGGACATTTGATAATCTCAGGGGAAAACCGTATTAATTAACTATTATGTCGACATGCAAATGCATGCGATCTAATGAGGCCATGCAGGGAAGGATTTAATAATGCACAAGAATAGAAACAAGGCAATTTTCCTTGGCATTTTCGTTGTATTTTTTCAATACATGAGCAAAAACGACGCCTTTTCGCAAAGATAAAATAGTTTTATAAGCATGCGTAGGTTGCGTTGTTTATGTTAATAAGGAAGGCTTAAAACACACCTCCTTGAGAATGTGGGCGCACGTCATATTACGTAACTAATGCATATTGGTTTACATGCCATGTATCTCAGTTTAATACACGAGCAAAAAACATTGGTTTTGCCCGTATAAGTTAATTATATTGCATAAACCCTTTGCATAAACTACATACACAAACTGTATACATTTTGTGCAGTATTGTATATTTGATTTAATTTATTAAGAAAATGATACTAGCTAGCACAGTTTTAAGTTCATTATTATGAAGGCGTATAAATTGCTTTAGAAAGCATATATAATGCTTTTTATATACTTGATATTTTAAAGCGTTTTTTTTATCTAATTTTAGCATATGTTATAAACATGCCAACGTAAATGCACGTCATTATAGAGCCTTGTCTTGTGGCGTGTTGGGCCGTACCTAATAATGTCACATGATATAGCCAAAATGACGTATTTTCCGGGTGTATTGTGATGGGTGTATTTTCATTTTCGGACGGATGCAGAAATGAACAAAAATAAACAATTTATGCAACTGCATGACATCTCCTTTTTAGACGTTTTGGGTAGCTGAGAAAAAATACCAGGGAATAAAGAAGGTGCATGGAATGTTTTTCAGGTTTTATTGAATCATGTTTGAATATATTTTCAAATACAGCTATGTCTTTTTTATTAAGATACTGGTGGCGTAACTTTGTGTTAAGTGGCCTGCGTAGGAGATGGTCAGCTGGCTGCTGGCGCGGCAGCGGGAAAAAGCTGCCACGGCTATGTGTTAAGAGACCATGGCTTAAACTGAAAAGGACCCTGTTGATCAACGTGTCAGATCGACGGGAGGTTGGGTGGGGGGTGCTTCGCTACCTACAACTTTATAAATCTCCGGATCTTATACACCCTTTTCATAAATGGCTGCCGATTAAAAATTCTTTTATGTGCATATAAATTGACCCAACTAGCCTCGTACTCATGTTAAGAATTCAAAGGAATTTCTAACCAGAAACGAGGCTAGTTGGGCCAATTTATATGCACATAAAAGAATTTTTAATCGGCAGCCACTTATGGCAATGGTGTATACGGCACATCTCTTAAGCCGGTTTTCCACTTCGCCCGTATCGTACCGAAACGTACTGGTGAGCATGCGCAGATTGAAAAAAGGTTTATAAATCCACGTACTCCTGGGTGTATTCGCGTATCGATAAGTCGTGGAAAATGCGGACCGATGCCTCGTTAAATAACACAATATTTAGTTCTGGTGTTACATTGCATAATTGAATATACCCAAAAAATTTCCTCCATGTGTGGCCAAGTTGATCGCGGCATCTTCGTCCTTCAGCTTCATTGAAGCTTCTAATTCACACAGACTTTTGGCCAAATTTTTATCAGACTGGTGTTTCTTCTTTGATTCTGATTTAATTCCTTTCATCGTTCCATGAGTGATACCAGCTCCAGTCCTTATACCGGCAGAAAAGGCATAGAATCGATATTTAATAAGCTCTCACGATGCAATTTCGAAGGATTGTTGTTTGTTTTCCATACTTCAGATATGAGTTTTTGTCGTGGCTTTCCAGTTATTCTTTTCGCCTTAGGCTGCGTAACATCATGCTCCACATCTCCTGAAAAGTTTATCTCTAACACTCCTTCTTCTTTGTCAGCAATTCTTAAATGCACTTCAACATCTTGGTATTTGCAAATAGCATGACCACGCCAGTATGGTGACGATTTTTTACGTGAATTTTCTTGCTTGATGTAATTTTTCTTAAATATCCAACAGCAATACTATTGAACAGTTTCAGCATTTTGGAAAAAAATGCTACATACTCTCCACCCAATGATCTGTGATCTGTATATTTACTTTTACCAGGAATGACTTTAATTGGTATATCTCGCCATTCGATAGGAAGCGATACAAAGGTTACAGGTCTCGTGAGTGTTGCTCAAAACACACCAGATGATGGCACGTTGCTACCAGACAATGTGTTCGCTGTCATGGTTGACACACCGGGCATATTCAGAAAAGAATTATCAGGCTGATCCTCGTCTAAACGCTCGTAACAAGTTAGGGAAGTGCCAGGTTCTATAGTGTCAATACGGAAAACATGATTTGGAGAAGTTTCCTTCACTTCTATACATGCTGTCTTGGAGATTGAAAACTGGGATGTGGAATAGGACTAGTTGGTATTTTACTACATTGTGAACCTCCCACTTCAATGTTTGTCAAATTCGGCGACGTCATCGCTGGCTCTTTTGTAGCCGAAGACGGGTTTTGGTGTTGATCACCACGGCAGAATTCGTTGTAAACGGTAACAACAGCTCGCCCGACAACACGTCCAAAAAAATCATCAATACTCTATCGTGGGACATTGAACCTTCATTACTACTATTTCGAGAGTCCAGATGACTTTGGATAAGTTTTGAAGTATCAATAGGTTCGCCTTGATCGTCATCCATACACGAGACTAGATCGTTTTCAGTAGAATGGCCATTGTTTAATTCCTCTCGTTGATGTACATACTTAACTCGGCCTCTGATGTCCCCACTGTTTCGTCGCCATACTAGACGCAATTGTTCCACTTTTATTTTGTCCACTGTAAGCGTCTTATAATAATTTTGTGCAACGGCCTTCCAGAATTCTTTTTTTGATGATTCCTTGGAGATTGACACTCTTATTATAATGCTGGCTAGTCTTTCTAAATCCAATGTTGGTTTAGCACCTTTTCTTCCACCGCCTTTTAAGCCAGGATCTGCATGCTTATGCCGCTTTTCTGAGACATTCCAAATGCACCTAGCTGTATTTTCCAATTCCTTTAAAAAATGAAGTCTTCTGGCATTATTTCTTTTTTTAATTCTCCCAGGTGAAACGCTTTGGGACCGATGTCGATAACGGTGATAATGACCGCCTTGGTTTTTCAAGATCATATTTAGAACATCTCGTGACTTTCTCATTGTTCTCGACGAACAATAAGCAATGATATATATATATAAACTATATAACTTTGATACGAAATATGAAGCTTGGCAATCAAGCACTTCTGATGATGAAATACTAGGGACGATAAGTATAATGCTTGAATTCTCTTCGAGCACGTCCTGAGGAAGACCAGAAAGAAAACCCACTGAAATCCTGAGCTGTACAAAACCACAGACGCAATACTTTGACGAGTTTTATACACACGGACAGGATTTATAATCAGGTATGCCCGAAACACTGGTGAAACACTAACGTCGAGCTGAATAAGGTATATTTTAATATTTTATAAATGTCAACGAGCCAAACTCAATATCGTTTAGACGAACATACTACCAACAAAGTTGCAGTTGAAAATAATACATTTCATTATTACAAGTTAATTTATTGTATATGTTCGGGTGATGTTCATACTTATCTAACAATAAGTATTTTACGTAACATGACGTGCGCCCACATTCTCAAGGGGGGGGGGGGTGTTTTAAGCCTTCCTTATTAACATAATCAGCGCAACCTACGCATGCTTATAAAACTATTTTATCTTTGCGAAAAGGCGTCGTTTTTGCTCATGTATTGAAAAAATACAACAAAAATGCCAAGGAAAATTGCCTTGTTTCTATTCTTGTGCATTATTAAATCCTTCCCTGCATGGCCTCATTAGATCGCATGCATTTGCATGTCGACATAATAGTTAATTAATACGGTTTTCCCCTGAGATTATCAAATGTCCGGCACGTGCCAGAGGACTTGCATTATTGTTTACGTTTAATATTTCACATCTCTTGAAAGTTGATTTCTTATGTCGGTAACGATGCTATAGTGTTCTCATGAGTTGCTCGTGGTGGATATATATCCTAAAGTTTCAAATGCTGTAAAATATGATAGTATGAATATTAGTCTAGAAGGGTCATCTTTTAAAAAATCGTTGCAGGGCGAAATTAGCGAGAAATTTGCGAAGCAATTTAGACGATGCTAGACGTATTTGACATGTTATGGCCTTTCGGCGACTTGAGCCGCATAATAGCACCATCTTTAGCGATCTTGTTTGCGTCGTGTCTTTCGGATATTAAATATATTTATATCGTTAGTTCTTCAGCAAAGCGCAACAAATGATATTATGTCATAAACATTTCAAAATCTTACATCTCTAGAGCGTAAATTTACGCATACCAAAGTTGTTGTGTTCACGGAAGGATAGAATTAACACAACCGGGCGGTGCGTGAAATTAGACAGTTCAATTTTGCGCGAGTTATTCATCGCGGTTTCGCGATATGGAAACAAGTTAACCGCTTGAAATTACTTTTGAATACATTTTCTAGAATGGTCATCAATCAAAATTTTAAATTTTTCGTTATAAAGGTAAAAAAATAAGGTTTTAAACGAGCTTTGCGATCTATCCCACCGCTGACCAGCCCCTTTGTCAGAAAAAACAGTGATTTTTCACAAGCTACCATGGACGAACGGAACGGAATAATGTCTTCATTTTCCCTCACGTACTAAAGAATATGACATGAAAAAATGGTCTTTCAAAAAAATTGGATTTCCATTAGTGGTTAAGCGGCCAAAGCAGTTTATTTACAAACTAGTCGTTCCAGCTCCAGGTTGAAATCGAACCTGGAGCTAGCTCCAGGTTCGCGAACCTGGAGCTGCGAACCTGGAGCCGTCTGTCTCGTCATCTACTTATGGAACACATCTCGCGATAATGGCCAAGAATGCTCGCTGTTATAAATCACATAAATTAGATTGATCAGTGCTTTTTTGGTAATGACTAGGCTTGTTCATGTAAGAGAACATCGACTGAGCCTTAAAAACCCCACAAAAAGCTTAAACGGGTAGTCTAGAAGCATTTTAAAAAGGCACGTGATATTTGTTTCATCCCTTCTATTTATTTCTTCCCTCGCCTTTTCGCTTGCTCGCGCGCCCGCAATCCTTGCTGTTACTTTCGTTGGAACGTCATGTAATATTTTCGTTTTGTCAATTTATTCGCCATATTTGAACAATCGTTCGAATCAAAATGTTTCTGAGCGATTTTCTGAGCGTGTATAAGCGCCGTGTTAAAAGCTATTCACTGCAAATACAAGCTCTTATGATTTATACAAGTAAGTGCAATAATTTAAATATATTACGTTATGATGTTTTATTCATATTACGTTTAATTAATGTTTTATTCATATTCATAACACAGCTCTTAGTTGGACCCCCTGTGCGTAAACATGCTTTTCTATTCTTGGCGTTGACGAATTAAATTAGATTTTGTCACAAAACCGACCAGGGAGTTCTAATTTGACTGCAGGCATTCTAAAAATACCTTACTGTTCCGTCGCAGGCTTAAGCAGCGTTTTTACAATATATTTAACTTGTTATACGTTTGTTTGCACGCCGTTCAGAAGTTCAACAATGCCCGCCAAAAGTTCACGTTATGCCCCTAACAACGGCGTGTTTCTAAGGAATGAACGCATACTTTTCAACGATATAACAACGCGTTTAAAATGCAAGCTGCAAGCTCAACTGCAATTGGCTGTAATTTAATCTTGTGCAATATTTGATACCAACACACATGTGAACAGATACTATCACCTAAAAATAAAAGAAAACAGAACTTAAATTTATCATCTAAAACTATGAAAAAAATCTTAGATTCTACAGGCATATAGTGAGCACAATTCTTTAACAAACTCACTAAAATAAGTTAGGTTATACTATGATAAAAGGATGCTGATAGATAACAACATCAAATGTTGTCATCTTCAGTGTCCAAAAAAAGTGCCGCGTGCATTTTTCATGGTCGCATAACTGGTATTGCCACAAACCCAGGTGAAAAAGCAATTAGAAAAACCTGGTTTTGGGTGATGAGCATAGTCAAATTCTTGACTTATTCAATTTTCTATGTTTTTCCAGGTAAACAGATTAAACATTGAAATAAGCCACATTTGGGACTTCATAGAATCCAAACTATTGTGTATGGACCAGACTTTTTTCAATTTTCTGTGATTTACATAACACTAGTTATAATTTAAGGGTCAACCAGTATTGTTCAAGACATATTATCTTTCCAAAACACCTTTTCAAAATACTAATCCAAGCATATCAAAAATAGTGTACATTTACAAGGGCAATTTCAACCTCTGGCACATTTTTCCCATGAATGATTTCAATTCTAATAGAAAGACTATAGATAAAACTTTGATTTAAAGCTAGTTTCAAGTGATGAGCATACCCTAATTTTTAAGCTATACCTCAAAGAAGATGGGCCATTTCAACATAAACATTGAAATATGGATACACTGACAGCTCTGTCACACGTGTAGTTTGACATTAGCAGCCCTTCTGAAACATTTTAATGAAAGTATAATTCACAAAATTACACTTACTTCTTAACATCTGTTTTAATCCAACTAGCTCTGTAGGCACGAGTGAAATTTAGTGTTGATGTAAATACCAGGGTGCATTCCATGCAAAGTCTACGCCGAAGATATGCCAATATTAACTATAGATAGTATTGTAATTTGCCAAACTCACGCCGAAGATCTCCAGCGTAGGCCACTTAAAATTACCCTGGCCCAGAGTTTTTTTTTAGGTTTGGCGAACGCGAAATGCGAGAAAACGCGCGAAGAAAATGAAAAAACCTCTGGTGAATTTGTTAGCGATTCCTGGTTCGGATAAAGAATGTAAAAAATGTATAATGGCTTAATGCATAATATTCTAAAAATATTATCCAATCATTATCTTTGACGCCAGGCCGCCTAGACAGGGTTCTATCTTGTCATCAGTCCCTGTCACGAAGGAGTCCCATGAGATGCGCATGCGCATTGCTGATCAGTGCTTAGCGTTCTGCTGGAAAGTAAACAACAAAGTGAGTATGCTCTGAAAAAATCCTATTTAATCTTTACCATCACGTTTAGATAAGGGGAAAAATCGTTCGGAGAAGCAGGAAGACATAAGTAAGTATCATAATTTTCAAATATTTGTTAATCTAGCCGCTTTATTTGCAGACTTTAGACTACATTTCATTCATGGATCAAGAAGGATCGCACGGCCTTGCTTCGACCGAAGCACCGGATCAGGCGATCACTGAAGCGTCAAGGAAACAGCCAGAGGCGCCTAAACCTGATATTCAGGAAGCTCTCGCTAATTCGATACCACAATGGGTAAAATGGCAGACCTGTTCGAAATATTAATAGCTGAAAAAGCTAACAAGCCTTTACAAGGCGAACGCCCAACGGGCAAGAAACGAACGGCAGCCGAGCGTGAAGACGACGCTGCCGGCGGGGACGAATCAGAATCAGAAACATCGTCCTTCAGGTCTAGAGGCAAGCGACAACGTCGCGAACAGTCTCCTGATGCCATAAGCATTCATGCTGGCGAAAGCGAGGATGACTTAGCACAGCTTTTGGGAAGCTCTGAAAAAGAGCGGGAAAATGAACCTGACACCGAAGCCGAACATCTCTTAAATGATCTTGCGAAACGCCTATCGGACGATGAATCCACAGGTCCAAACATATCGCAAAAATTAGCTGATATAGCATTAAAACGTTGGGGTAAACAACTCAACCCTGAAAAATTGAAGAGTATACTAGAGAAATATACTCGTCCTGAAAACTGTCCGGGTATGACATGCAAAAAAGTCAACCCGGAAATATGGCAGTTGTTGGGTTCAAAGAGCAAGAGAACAGATATTCAACTGTATAATTTACAGCAATCAGTTCTCAAAGCAACATTTGCAGCTTTACAAACAACAAATATGTTAATGGAAACTCCTGACAGGGATAACTCCCAGTTGTTGGCAAGCTTAGTAGATACTGTAGCCATTTTAGCACATACCCACACTAACTTGTCTCTGGTCAGGAAAGAACAAATAAAGCCTGCCCTTAAACAGGAATACTCGGCAATATGTTCACTGGAAGACCAGCCAAACAGTAAACTGCTGTTTGGAAATGATTTAGCAAAAAATTTAAAGGATGCCAAAGAGGCTAGTTCCCTCAGTTCTTCTATGAAAAGTTATCCCCCCAAGCAGTACAATTACTCTGCAAACAAAAAACCTGCCTTGAAAAATAAGCAGGATTTTTGGCAGGGCCAGCGCAAGAACAATCAAAAGAAAAAACCCTGGAGGGGGGACGAGAGAAGAAGTGACAGAACTTCTCAAACAAATCCGAAACTCGGTAAGTGAATTTGAAAAATATATACCTGTTATTCTGACATATTTACAGAATTTATGCACTAGCTTTAAGGCTGGTCGAGTGGCTGAGCATTTTACAGCCTGGACTAAAATAACTCAGGACAGCGAAATTTTATCAAATATAACAGGTGTTGTAATTGAATGCACTGAGACACCTGTGCAACTTAACCTACCAGGTCAAACGTTTCACTCACATGAATACTTGATGCAGAAATATCAAAGTTAGTTGGTAAAGGGGTAGTAAACAAAGTACAACCTGAAACAACACAATTTATTTCTAGCATTTTTTGAGGCCAAAACCTGATGGGTCACACCGTCTCATTCTAAATTTGAAAAAGTTTAACGAAACAGTAGTATATCATCATTTTATGATGGATTCTATTTATGATATAATTATAAGTAATAGCATGGCTTAAGGGAGATTAGTGATTAAATGGCCCCGTAACCCGAGGCAGGTTTGCGGATTTAAGCTAAAATATTTGCTTCATTGCTTGTGGGATGTAAAAGCTTGTTTCACATAAAACTTGTTTCACAAAGTTTTAAGCTAAAATATTTGCTTCATTGCTTGTGGGATGTAAAAGCTTGTTTCACATGCGCACTTTTTACGCTTTAATCGGTTACGCATGCGCAATCTATCATCTAACGTACCACAACAAAAACGCTAAATATATTAGTATAAAATTGGAGACTGCACGTGCGTAATTTAAATGATGCGGCAACTCAGGGATTGGATGATAGACTATTGACGGCTCTGAGCTAACTGTTGCTGTTCCTTGCACGATTATGTGCGTGAGGCACTTGCCTAATGCGTAGTCGTCAGGGAGACAAAGGTGTGACCCTTGGTAACGGGCGATTAGTTCTAATCGCCCGCTACAGCGGGCGATTAGTTAGTAATGGCAAAGATTAGATACTATAAAGATGTGTCACTCGACGTATTTCCCTAATGTTTGCGTGTCCGTAATTTTTATTTACTGCCAAAATGGCGGCGAGACTGATGGCGTTGAATTTTACTATTTAAGAGACTGATGGCGTTGAATTTGACACTTACTGACAAAATGGCGGCTATAAAAAAATCTCGGACATAATTTTCGCAGAGTGACACATCTTTATAGTATCTAATCTTTGGTAATGGTACCTGTTGAAACAAAAGAAACCCGGGCAACTATGCTATTACTAAACTAGTTACAAAGGACTGCTTTATGGCATCTTTGGATTTAAAGGATGCATATTACTCAATACCCATCAAAACATCAGAACGAAAATATTTACGTTTCATCTGGAAAGAAGAAATTTACCAGTTTACATGTTTGCCCAATGGGCTTTCATGTGCACCTAGGGTATTTACAAAAATATTGAAATCTGCATTAGCAACTTTACACTCTATGGGCCACATTTCTGTGGCACATATTGATGATTGTTACATACAAGGTCCGACTTATGACAAATGTGTTGTCAATGTCCTTGACACATTCATTTTGCTTGACAATTTAGGGTTTGTGATACACCCCATTAAATCAATTCTTAAACCCTCACAGCAAATTATCACTCTGGGATTTCTTATCAACTCATTGACCATGACCATACGGTTGACTAGAGATAAAGCTATTGATTTGCAAGGGAGTTGGATAAAGATAAAACCCAGGCCCTAAAAGAAGCAAAAGGGGATTTTGATGCGACAATGGCACTATCACAGGGTGCAAAAACGGAATTGCACTGGTGGGAGTGTCATGTGGAAAACTCCTTTCAGAAATTGACACATGAGGAGCCACAACACAAAATCACTACTGATGCCTCCCTCTCGGGATGGGGGGGCGGAGTACCAAGATATATCTACAGGGGGAATGTGGACTAAGTCTGAAGCTACAAATCACATTAACTACCTGGAAATGTTAGCCATCTTTCTTGGCCTAAAGACATTTGCAAAAAATCTGAATAACACACACATAAGAATAATGTGTGATAATACCACTGCGGTTAATGTTATAAATCACATGGGTACAAGTCACTCTGACATTGCAATAATATGGCAAAGCAAATTTGGGAGTGGTGTATAGATAAAAACATATGGCTCACCGTAGCCCACATCCCGGGAAAACAAAATTTGGTGGCGGATTATGAATCAAGGCGACACAAAGGGAATCTGAATGGATGTTAAATAAGGCATTGCGTTCAGATACCTTGGTTAAGCTTAACTTTAGCCCGGAGATCGACTTATTTGCAACTCGGGTAAACAAGCAATTCCCAAAATATGTTGCATACCGACCAGACCCAAATGCTTGTGCAATAGATGCATTCACCTTATCATGGGCAAACTTAAAATTTTACGCCTTCCCACCATTTAGTGTCATTGGAGCTATGCTGGCAAAGATCCAAAAAGAGGGAGGTCAAGGAATATGTGTGTTGCCGAACTGGCCAACCCAGAGCTGGTATTTGGGGAACACCCCCTAGTTATTCGCTACATGAAAGGCATATTTGAAATACGGCCAGCTTTACCCAAATATTCAGAGATATGGGATGTTACTGTTG